GCGCCATGTGGTCACCTCCTGGGCAGGCGGGGATCGAACTCATGCAGAAGTGGCTTAAGCTTCTTAGTGCTGTGCTTTAACCCGCTGCGCCACCAGGGAGGGCCTTTTTATTTATTTTTATGAGATAATTAGTGGCTAGTGGCATCATATTTCATATCAACAATTCTTGTTCTTAAGGTGTAGCCCACTTTGAATACATTAATGTCACCGGGCAGGGTGAGGTGCAGCCCAGAACCACATCCTGCCAGTTCTAAATAGGTTCTACCATTTACTGTATCAAGACAAAACATTCTCTAGTGTGTAAGAGCTAATAGAGAGAAGCATTAATACAATTAGTAAGCAATAAAGAGAAGGGAATGAATATAGTTTCTAAATCAGTCGCCCAAAGTTACCCATCCCCTCATGTGTAAATGTCCAGCCAAACAGGGTTGGTCCAAAGCAGGGCCATTGAGGCCTGAAAGCCAGTCACAAGCCTGGTGGGGACCACTAGGACAGAGGCAGAAGGGGCCAGACAGTTCTGAAAGGAAAAAGCAAAATCAAAATCAAGGTGCCACCCCCACTGGTCAACATCCTCACTGATCTCATGTTTCTTTCAAGTGTCTCATTCCATGTCCCTGGTAAAAATCCAAGGCTGCTAAGCAAGTATAGCTCTTTCCATGTCTTTCTGTTCCATTTGCCTCCTCCAGGTCACCTTGATATCCATCCTCCTTTCCTTCTCCAGTCTCTTCTCTAGATTAGCCTCCTCCCTGATCAGTTTCACCCTTCCTTGGGCGGAGCAGGAAACCTGGAAACTTCTCTTTCCCTGGGGAAGACCCTGTTAAAATTTATATATATGTATATATATAAGTAGATGGGGTGGGGGGAGTGGAATATATATATATTCCATCTACTTACCACTCTTTTGCCCCATCTACTTACCACCCTTTTGCCTTCATTGGACACAGTGGGAGAAAAAATGCTTTTGCAAGTTGCAGCACAATTAGTCTATCTAAATGTAGTAACACATTACATAGCTCAGAACTGAAAGAGCCATATCTACGATGGTCTGAAAAATGCTAAATTGTTGTGTAAATAGCGCTCTTCTTTGTTCATAGTTTTAATTTGTAAGAGGTGGCCACAATTTTTATTTTTTTGATGTCATGAGAAAACTCTGATTTAATATAAAACAATTTGAGATGAATACTTAGATATTATAACTACTTTCACATTATACTACTTTTCATAGTAATAGTCCCAATTCGTTTGGGACAGGACTGCATATGAAATATTGAATAGAACTAAAATACACAGTTATGGAATATATAGAAAAGGAAATTATCTTACTGTAATTTGATTTTAATTTTTTTGTATTTAATTTTATTGGAGTAGGTAATATTGCAAGGTTCACAATTTAAAAGGCACAAAAGGTGCCCCCCTCTAAGGTGTCCCAGTCATTGAGGTCTCTCCAAACAATCAAGGTTATTTTTTAAGTCTGAAGATATGCTACAGACACCCCCTCTTTGTTTTGAAGATGAGATTGAAGTATGCAAAATCTTTAAAGCCACTTTAAAGGGTCTTCTGGTTTTGAAGCCCAGACTACAATCTTAGTCTGCTGGCATTCTAATTCAGGACTCTGTAATCTTGCACTAAGTCACAATTGTCTCTTTCAAGTGGCTAGTTGGGAACTGGTTAAATTAGAGTGAATGATCCCATCTGGGTAATTTAAGTTTCAAAATAGCTTGGTTTAAGATGACAACACCAGGGCGGAGGTTTATTATTAGTAGGGTGGTAGGCTTTAAAAGGCTGACCTGGTGCTTAATCACATGGTTGACTTTTGCTAAGTCCCTAGGCAGCTAGTCGGCCCAGAACGCTGACGTCGCTGGGATGGGGCCAGGCATCTGGGGACACGCGTGCAGCCTCGGGTCGCCTGATAGGAGCTCTAACAAAATGACCCAGACTCGGAGGCGCTGGCTTGGGACCCACCCTCGGGATCTCAGCCTAGAAGCCTGGCGAGAATGAGGCCCTGTCCTTTCTTCAACCGCCGGGCGGGTGAGTTGCGGCGCAGGGAAGAGATGAACCAGGCCGACTCGGGACAGCCCGACCGCTGGCTCCCAGGCTCCTTTGGCTAAGCAGCCTCAGCGGCCAGTGCTGGTGGTCCCGTCCTCTACAGACTCCAAAGCCCACTCCCCGGGGCACAAGGCGGGCGGGAGATGCCAGCAACCAACCCCCAAAGCCGGCCAGCCTGCTCCTTCGCCACCGCCGGATTCTTGCGCCACACTCCAGAAGCCCGCCCCACCCTGCCCTTGGCTTCCAGCTAGGACCTATCGCGCGGCCGCGAACCGGTCTCCGCGAGCTGGGGACTTCTCCGCGCGGGGCGAAACAGCAGCGAGCCCCGTTGCGCGAGTGGGAAGGAGCCCTAGCAAGCAGCTCTGTGGCCCAATAACTTTCCTTTGCTCTCGAGTATCGGCCAATGAGGCGCGTGGGGCGGGACTTCCGCCTCGCCTAGGTGTTGTCTCTGCTCTGACTCGGGGCTGTGGGGTCGGTGCGGATATCCAGTCAGGAAGTCATGGTAGACTCTTCTCCCGCATCGACGCGGCGGGCGTACCTATTTGTGTTGAGGGACTAGGCATTCAGGTAAGTGGCTCTCTGTCTCGTCGCGGCTGGGCGGCGGGTTGTCCTCCTCAGGGCCTGGCTCCGAGAACACACCCCCTCGCGGTCCCTCGAGTTCCGAGGCGGCCCCGAGGCTGAGGTCTGACCTGCTCGCCGGGCTGGAGGCGGAGGAAAGTAGCCTTTTTGCAAAAGGAAGAAAAAAAGCCCTGTTCTGGGAGGGCCGAGTTCTCCCTGATCCCTGGAGTATCTGAAGTTGTTTTGCGTCTCCGTGACACTCCTGGGTTAGCAGTAGTCTGGGAAGATGTTAGAACGCGTCTCTCTGGCAAGGACGTGCTGCAAAGTCGGCGAAGTCCCTTTACGTTAGAAGCGGGGACTTTAGTCTTTGGAAAAAAAAAAAAAAAAAAAGAGCAGGTGCCTCTTTGCTAACCTTTCTGCCCGCCCCTCCTCTAACTACCGCCCTCCCCCTCCTCCCTCCGGAAGTTTAGATAGAAGGTGGGACGTGACTACTCTGTTAGGGACAGATCCCTCTTCTCCCTCCTAAACCCAGTAGTAGTTTGCCAGGACGTTTATTGGTTGACCTGCAAAGATGCTAGAACTCTGTCCCAGAGAGGGAGTGGGCAGACACCGAGCGATCCCAAAAGCACTTACGCCAACTTTGGTGGCAGCCTCTGAGGGCTCTCTGCATGCTTTTCAGTCTTCTATTTTGCCCTAATTTGGCAATAGTGAAACTAAGTTATCATTTCATCCTCAGTTTCAGCACCGTGGGCAGCTGCTCGGTCCCTCTTTTGTAGCCCCAAACCTATCTGGAAAGTTGTGGTAGACTTTACTGATGGTTCATCAGTGATGCAGCAGGAACAGTGAAAACATCATTCCTTTAAACAACGGTCTGTTGTTCCAAGGAGAAGACCCGCAGTTTCGATACAATATAAATAAGTAATGGTGTTTCCACAGATTTGTAGAGAAACACATCAGTTTCATGGTTTTTGAAAGCAAGAACTTTCAAAGATTTTTTTTCAAAGGTTAAAGACAGTTTTAATGGCTTGAGGAGATTAGCTTCACTTTAGAGTAACAAAACTGGACTGTGGTAACAGATAAGAAGAACTTTAAACAGGAGGTAAGAACTGTAGTACAGTGCTTTAGTGCCTGTTCCCGTTGGGGATTAGTAATGGATTTTGTAATCAATTTGATATGTCAACATTAGAAAGAAAGAAGGAAAAAAAAAATAGCAGGAGGTACCTATGGAGTAAGAGTAAATATTGTTTCATGAAGTTTGTGTTTCAGGTTTCAAAAAATGTTAAATACGTGTCTTAATAAGAAGAGGTAAATGTATACTGATACTGTATTGTTGTGGATTATGACAAAACATTACATTCCAAATTTGTGAATAAGTACACTAGATTCAGCCTTCAGCTCTGCCATTTGTTAATTCTGTGACATTTTTGTCTGTAATTAGAGGAGGAATTTTTGAGTATTAGTTGAAATGAAGTAGTTAAGTCTAAAAACATTTTATCTCTTTGAAGTGGTTCGATAAGAAGCCCAGTTATTTAGCAATGGAAGTTTTTATATTAACATTTTAGGCACTAAATCTTGGTTTGTAAGGGCTAGTACTGAAGTATTTGGAGTAAACGCACATCTATTCTTACTTAAAACTCATTTCTTTCAAGCATTTTGGAGGGGATTACCTGCTACCAAAATTCAGCTTTTCTTCTTTGGTATTTTTTTCTGCAGAGCAATGTAACTTAATTGGAAGTTTTTAGACAGTAATTTTAACAAAGTAAAGACAGAAGTAAGGGTATGAAAGATTTACATCTTAAAGTAAATTTGTTAGGAAAGCATTTTATAGTTTATATATTTTGTCAGGAAACTGTATGAAATGAAATGACTTGGTAAAATATCATGGCATGCTTACTTCATGCTGATGTGACCAAAAAATCATTGGCTTTTAAGTAAAAAGTATGATTTTGGACATCTTAAAATCTGGGGATTAATAATTTTTGGCAGAAGGCAAAATGAGTTTGGATTAGAATAGTGTTTTGCACCATTTGACATATTACCATATGGCATTGCATATGGTAGATCACATGATATAAGAAAAGGAAAGAAAGTCAGTCAGCAAGTCAGTCAGCATTCTTTGTTTCCTCAAAGGAGGAAGCAGAATTAATAGGCAAGTGAATTTCTTTTAATAAAGCATAGTAGTTGTTTCAAATTTCATGTACTAAACAAATATTTATTGAACATATATTAAACTAGTATTAATCTCTTACAGAGTTCTTACAGTATTCAAAACTTGATTTGAGAACATATAATTGTTAATGTCTGAGTTTACATGCCTTAGCATAAATAAAAAAACAACAGTGGGCCCTCCCTGGTGGCCCAGTGGGTTAAAACACAGCACTGAGAATCTAAAGCCGCTTCGGCATGAGTTTGATTCCCACCTGCCCCGGGGGTGACCACGTGGTGTGGCAGACCTCTCCTGACCTGCCCACTGCTCCCCTCAGCAGTGTACCTCATCGATCTGCCTGTTCTGCTCCCCACTCTGTCTCTGGTGAAGCCTCTCACTGCCCCTGAGCCTCTGGCCTGTACCCCAGTTCTGTATGCAAAAATAAATAAATCTTAAAAAAAAAAAAAAAAACAGTAATGATAGCTAACAGTAGTATAGGCCAGATACTATTTGAGCATTTTATATTGGTGTAATTCTCACTGTTATTACAGTGGTGCTAGCACAATTATTTCCTTTGTGTAGTTGAAAAGCAATAAATGACTTGCTGATACCACACAGACAAATTGTTAGTGGAGTCATTGGAGTTTGAATCTAAGTGTCCTGATTATAAAACCTATGTGTTTTATGTAATTTTTTTTAACTAAGAAAATAGAGGATGCCCTTTGTGACTCTTTATTGTGCTCCTTAAGCCCCAATTTCCTTAACTTTTTACTGAAAAATATAGTTTTAAGTTTTTGTGGGGATTAGTATAGCTTGGAAAATATTAAATTTATTGTATTCAATAGATAGCCTTTTCCCTTTCATTGAGGATCTGGCCATTTGAAAGTTTGTTAGTATTTGGAAGAGGATGAGAAATATAGTTGCACAGAAGAATATCAACCAAACAAAGGTATAGAGATAGGAAAGCAGAGAATTGTTGTCAAGGTTGTATGTTAAAGGAACAGGCTGGTAAGTTGGTAAAGATTGACAGATAGGATTATGGAGATCCTTAAATGCCAGGATATGGACTTTGTGCATGACTCTTAGCTGAGACATATACCTCTTTATCCATGCTAATGTGGAATAGAAGTCCAGTAAACTTGGGGATAGATATGAGTTTAATTATAATAATTGAGGAAAGAATTGATGGTAAGATTATAGTGAAGGACATAGATTTGAGAATTGTTGATGTTGACATTTGGAATTGATATGAATATGGACATTAGAATCTGGGGGGGAATAGTGATTTTTTTAAAGATTTTATTTATTTATGGATATAGAATTGGGGTACAGGCCAGAGGTTCAGGGATGGTGAGAGGATTCACCACACACAGAGCAGGGAGCAGAACAGGCAGACGGACAAAGTACATTGCTGAGGGAAGCAGCGGGCAGGTCAGGAGAGGTCTGCCACACCATGTAGATCACCTCCGGGGCAGGCAGGGATTGAACTCATGTGGAAGTGGCCTTAGCTTCTTAGTGCTGTGCTTTAACCTGCTGAGCCACCAGGAAGGGCCCATGATGTTTTTTTTTTTTTTTAAAAGATTATTTATGCTTGTGGAACTGGGGTACAGGCCAGTGTTGTGGTGGGTGAGAGGATTCACCAGAGACAGAGTGGAAGCAGAACAGGCAGATATACTGCACTGCTTAGGAGAGGTCTGACATACCATATGGGTCAGCTCCCTGAACAGGAATCTAACTGGTGATGCAGTGGCATTTGAGAGCTTATAGCGAGGTGCTTTAAACTGTTGAGCCACCAGGGAGAACCTGGGATAGTGATGCTTTTAACAAAAATAAGGATCTTATGATAAAGAGTGAGTTTTGGCGATTTTGGAGGAGGACTTGGTGATAGGGATCTGAGGAGTTGTTCAGACATTTGAAAATGTAAATTGGAAACTGAGAAATCTGTATATTCCACAAACAGGAAAGAGATCAAATGCTCATTTTATGAGTAAATGGTGTACAGCAGTTACCCTGTTGTGGGCCAAAGTTTCACAGTAATGATGTAACACCTACCTTTAGAAATGCAGATATCTTACTTACTGAGATGTATGCACTATATACATACTATTTTTCCCTATAACATATTTTCTGTCCCTGATGACAGGAGGGAAGGAGTGGGGTGGGAAATTTTGGGGAAAACTAACAAGGCTCCTATTTATTATTTTAAAAGAGATGCAGCAAATTGATGACTAGGTATTATCGTACTAACAACTTAAAAAGATGCTGTGATTTTTATGTAATGCCATTCATTTATATGCATACATTGAATTGTTGCAACATCTCTGGATTTGTCATTTTTATCATTCTTTTCTTACTCTGAATTGATTAATAGCAAAATGTTTTTAATCATAAACTCTAGGCACTTGGTAGAAGTGTTGCATTGGTGTTGTACTCTACTTATAGTCAAGATTATGGAGAATAACCTCAATGGATAAAATAAGGCTACATCATGGGATAAGATGAGTAGAGATTATATGAGTGAATATCTGTACCATTCTCTGGTTGAATGAGAATGCCAAAACCCACTCTCTGGTGTTGGTTATTTATCTCATTCTGTAAATGATGAGGACGATAATACAAATTCTGACCTTGAAGGATGGAAAGAGAAGCATCTAGAGACTTTTTATACATGAAAGAAGGCTTACTTTTAAGTGAAAGCCTTTCTTGACAGTTTTTTTTTGGGGGGGGGGCGGTTAGTGCAGCTGGGTAGGACACCATATTAAAGTAAGCAGTATAATTTACCCATTTCTGAAGTATTTTTGGTTCTTTGTACTACTTGGCCCAAGTAACTGACCAATCAAATAAAATTAACATTAAGCATAAA